CTCCTATTATAATAGATATAATGGCGATTCGACGAGAGGAACGCGAGAAAAGATGGAACGCAAATAGTTTATGAGGTGCATTTTTATATTGTATACCGTCTCGGTGTTCATTCGACATCGCGTAGCTGTAAGGTCCAGAAAGTGAACAGGAAGCCGGGAGAATCAGGCGGGAGCCAATAAGAGCGGAGAGATAAATAAGACGTTCCCGGAGGGTGGCTTCCTCTTTATCTTGGCTACCTCCTTTCACCCGCGGAACCAACTTTTCCTGCTGAAGCTGCAGCGCCACGGCCTACGGGTAAATATTTGGCCCGGGTGTTCCTCTTAAGAAGGATGCAAATCTTCGCAAAGCGGCGAAAAAGGGAATTCCTGCCAATTTCCACGAAAGATCAAACTCCTCGAAAGATATAAATAAATTTTACCCAAATCTTGAAAATCTATCATCGACCATTATTATCCAACTTCGATTTTGGCCCACGAGCGAAAAAATAAATTCTTCGTTTCGACGGTCGAGTCAAGAGCAAAAACGCGAGAAACTCGAGAGATTGGCAATCATAATTGGAATAAAAGTTCCTTTCCTTAGAGGCTGGCTATGAACGAGGTGGAAAAGAGATCCTTTTGTCTTTTTTTTTTTTCTTTCTTTCTTTCTTTCTTTCTTTAACGTCCTCCACGCAATTTTGCCGGATATTCTCGATGACCGATAAAAACCGATGACTCCTTCCGCGGAACTCGTACGGAATTGGGAAGCAGAGCGTCTCCTCCGTTCTCCATTCGCCCTTTTAAACTCCACTCCTTCCCCTTCTTCCTCCCTCCTCTATAGATAAGCGAGGCTCGTTCTCCAACTTGGCAAAGAATTCGCCCCTCGTTTCACCCAGAATCCAAAACCATAAAGAACGAATTCAATTTTGAATCCCTCTCCCCATCTGATCCCGAATGAATCGGGAATCTTTATCGGTATACCTTATTTCTCGGATCGATTATCAATCGATGTGACGGAGAAGTTTTCAAGTTTATTCTCGAAAGAGAAGTTCGCTTCTCAGAAAATCGTTAACTAGGGAGAACGATGGAGGAATTGCTGAAAGACAGAGGTTCACGGGGTATTCCTTCCTTCCTTTCTTCTTTCTTTCTCTCTTTCGATCGATGGCAGACTCTTTGAGCGAGAGGATTCTTCGGTTGTGAGCTGTGCTTTGCCAATTTTTCAGCAACTAACCCTTCCACGTATTTATCGTCGTGCATATTCGATGGAACGTCGAGCGCCTTCGAGTTCTCTTCTTTTTTTTGAACGTATTCCTTTGAATTCCAAAGCCACAACTTCCAAATAGTTATTTAAAAATCGTACATTTTTCAATTTTCAGATTTATTTAGCCAGACCTGTTTAATCGTTCGACGAAAAAAAAGTTTCGAACGAAAGAATTTATCGGTATCGATAAAAGTTTCCAACGCAATATATGTTTTTTTTTAGAGAAATCAACCTTGCATTTCCTAAATGGGATTTCCTTTTTTTTCTATTCAATCGACATTGAAATAAATTCAGAAGAGACGTGTACGATCCCACGATTTTTATCGCGCAATCTTATTTCAACCTTGAAACATTAATTTTCTCGAATTTTCGAATAATCATCGTCTTGAAAAAATGGCGAGCATTATCCTCTCCTTAAAAGTCGCCTAATACGCTGCATCGTGAATACGATTCGCGTTGTTTCTCGTACAAGGGAGGCAGTTGATGGGGAAAACGGTTTACAACTTCAGTAACCGTTTACAGCGCGTAAAAGGGGGGAAGGGACGATTCGTGCACGGCTCATAACTGGAAAACGTTGTTTCGTCGACGATAATCCCGTGTGCGAGGGAAAACGAGAGGCAGAAAGAGGCAGAGAGAGAAGGATAAAGGTCCATCGGTAAAATCCCTCCCCCATTTTTTTTTAGGACGAGTACCTTTCCCTTCACCTTTACTCGAGCGGCTTATCGATTTCTAATTTAACCGGGGTCGCCTCTGCGGTGGGAATTCCTGTTCAAAGCTCGTCCCGTGTCCCGGGATACGCGGCCGAGATTGCGGATTCCCGACCGGCTGATGTATGCCATTATGGAGGTCAAGGAACGACGATAAGCTAGCCGGTTGGACAGGAGGAACAGGAGGCGGACTCGTGCGACCGCGTAATTCCTCAAACACGCTGCTCAACTGTCGGATAGAAGGCTGCCCCGTTCGGGATATCGGTCCAAAGTTATCAAACGTTTTGCATTCGTGTGTAAACTTTTTAATATAAATTTTAGTACAATTGTATACGTGCAAAACGTGTTCAAATATGTGTATTCGATTAAAAGATGCATATTGTGTTGTTTTGAAACTTGAAATTTTTATATATATATAGAAAGGGAAAGGGAAAATGAAAATTTTGGCATCAAAAGATAAAAGGGGGGCATTGAAGTAGCTTTTTTGATTCATCTCGATATCTCAATCGGTTGCCGAGATACGAAGATTCAATGTTTTCGTTTAACATGAATTATGAATTGGATACGCGACCTAGTGGCCTATATTTTTTGGCCTACGTACGCGTATTACTTCCAGGAATCTGTATCTGTCAGTTGTCTAGAAATGGAATAGGTCGGTGAGACGAGCGAGATGGTAAACGATTGAAAAATACCTTTTCCTTTACACGATGATATCTCGGGAAGTCACATCGAGATAAATAAATAATGGGTTTTAAAGGGAAAAGTTTCGCGCTTTTAACGATCGTTAATCTGAAATCATCAAAGATATAGCAGTTTAAAATTTTTCTAATACGTAAATAAATGATTGAATATTACCTTTTCTTTGTACGACGATATCTCAGGGATCGGAAATCGTAAACAAACGAAAGAGCGTTTTAAAGAGGAAGGTTTCGGTGCTTCTATTAATCCTCGTTTAATGATCAAAAGTTGCTATTTTGGATATTCTCCTAATTTTAATATTTAATATAGGAGATTATATTAGTAAGAGAATGTTACGAAAGGTCACAAATTTACATTACAAAGATCGAGAAAGATATTATCGTCGTGGAAAAATAGATCATCCTTGGCGATCGAAGTTCGCTTCGGGAATGACGCGTGTTTTTCCACGAGATACACGGGTCAGCGTTCGCCCGAAATTATTCTTTCTCGCTCCATTACTCCTGGTCTCGTCGGTATTTCGCGTGAATGGCGAAACTAGGGGAGAGAGAATCGAGTCGAAAATCGAGTCCAAACCGTTGACCCGACTCGAAGGGACGAGAGAAGAAAAAAAAGAAAAAAAAAGGAAAAAACCCGATAAAATCATCCATCAAGTCGATCATCGATGATCCTCGAAGAAATTACACGCCAACTTTAACGCGCGTTTAAATCGTTGCCATGGAACCCAACCCCACGTTCCCCCCTCCCCGATTAATTAATCCAATCGAGACCACCCCAATATCCGCTAACGAGCTTTTCCATTTTTCTGCGCGTCTCGAATTCGAAGGTCATCGGTTTCACAACCGCCACACACCAACGCGTTACGTGTCACGTAATAATAACCACGCGAGTGGTATCCATTAACCTTTCACGCCCACGCGTATACGTTCGCTCCGGGACCAGATAAGGCGGCCTTATCCAACCATTTTCGCCATTCTACTATCCAACCAAGATCTCTGAATAATTATTTCGTCCTTATATTTCCGAGATGAGAACGGTTTCGACATACTTTCTCGTTAATGGGACGATTTATTAGAGACGATGGAATTAATCGAGTTTTTATAAATTTATTTCCAACGTTTATTCTCCAATCAGGGTTAAAAACCTGAGAGGTCATTTCACAGGGAAATATCACGTTGGGTCAGCATTGATTGGACGCCACCCAAAAACCGCGTGTCGCACGTGCGCGCGTGGAAACGGAAGAGGAAGAAGGCGCAAGGTGAAACGTGACGGTCGCTCGATCATCCTTCGCCTCCCGCGGGGAAATCCGCAATAACAGGCGGATGTTTTTTATGGTCTTTACGTTACGAACAGGGCGCGCAATAACAGATAGAGAATGTAGTTTGTAGCCGTAACTCGTCCCCTCGGGGGGGAGTGGAGTTTCAACCGGCAATCGAAAAGTTTCCCCCCGCGATTGTGGGATCGAAGCGAACGACCGAGAACCATATAAAACCGTTCTCGATGTTTCGATTCGATATCTCGCTCGTAGAGACAGGACGAGGCACAAAGTTTCATAATAATAAAATTCACAACGATTCGAGAATATTTTTGCGGAGTTGTATTTCTCCGCTCCGCCGATTTAACAGCGCCCTCCCCCCCCTCCCTTGCGAAAATTGGACGAAAATTGGAGGATCGTTCGACAATGCGGCGGCGGAGGCTCGCAAGATCCTGAGCAAAGTTTGAGCAAACAGGCGGAATCTCGGAATCGAGCGCGCGACGCGAAAGCGGGATTATTAAGCCGCTTTCCAAATATATGCGAATATATATATATATACACACACGATTGAAGAGATCCAACTATAGCCAAGTTGGAACAACTATACGATCCAAGTGGAAATGGCGCAATAAATACAGGATATAATCCTAACTATCCGAAATGGAGCGTGGTCCATTCGAGGGAAGCTCGGCCCGGGCCGATGTTGTCCGCAACCTCTTTAACCTCTGGGAGGGGGCCCTCCTCCTCTCTTCCCCCCCTGGGTTCTGCGAAACAACGGTAACGGCTGCCATGTACCGAATATTTGTTCTGGCAACCGGAGTACACTTGTACTCCGTGAAACTTCGTTACGTGCCGTGGATGCAGACCGTGCAACTTTCCAACTGTAACAACGAGGGGCGCAGGGAACGTCGTACTCTTGTCACCATTCTTCCTTTACCAATTCTCCTAAATAATCCCTCCAAAAAATAATCGCAACAAAAGGTTTCGGCTCGTGCCCTCCTCTCTCTCTCCTCTCTTCCAGCCAATCCAAGTTCTCCAAGTTTCGAACGGATCGAAGTGGGCGGGCAAAGTTTCGAACGGTTTCTCTCTCTTCGCCGAATGTTCGAGAAAGAGAGAGAGAGAGAGAGAGAGATTGGTCGTTTAAAGGCCCGCGGTGGCACGCGGTTAATTAGCAATTATTCCGGGGGCCGCTTGTCTAATCGAGTTTCCGACTCGACGTGGCTCGATTCGACGCACTTAAACGCAGCCTCTGCGGGACGATCCATTGAACCCCGGCCGGTTATCGAGGCAGAGAGACGGTCGGTGACAACTGTTCGCGCCGCCTTGCCCTCTTTACCCGGAGTCCCATCACTTTGCCGCGAATGCAACGACGCGTCGTTGACACGTCCATTACCGGCCTCCACAATCCTGCGCACGCTATCCGAAACACCGCGCATTGCAAACCGGTGTTGCAAAGGGGCGATTCGATCTTCTTTGACGAGGGGTGAAATTGCCCTCCTGGATTGCCCTGCAATCGAACGTCACTCGAGTAAGAGCGCAGCGTTTAATTGGTTAATCTCAGGCTGCTATCAACGATACAGGTTTCGTTATCTTTAATAAATCGTTTAATAATTGATCTGTGAGTCGAGGTTTCTTATCTCTTCATTGAGAAATTTGTAAAAATGTGTTTCTTCGAGCGCTACTTTTCGCCCAACGCGAAGGGTTAAATAGACCTATTCCTTTTTCTTTGAACGATAACTCAACTTTATATTCATCTTCTATCGTATTAATTTTTATGACGAGTTGAAAACAATGACCGTTAGTCTACTTAAAAGTGCGGTCACGAAACAAATAATAACGTTCCAACAGCATTCTTCTAATTCTTATTTTTTAAAGCATTGACGGGCAAATTTAAGTTGATTGGGAACGGAATGCAATAGAGGGTTAATAATAAAACCACAAAGATTCGTCGTTCGAGCCGAAAGGGAACGATAACGCGCGATGATCAACGAACATATTATAATATCGTGTTTGGACGAAATTCACCAGGCCCGTTTCAATCCACGCGGAATCTACGTGGAACGGGGCGAGCGATTGTCTCGGTGGATGCCGGTGAATTTATCCAACTGGCGGGGAAATTAAGTCGCTTTATCTGCTGGCCCAGAGCTCGGCTCGAGGGTTCATCGTACGCGTGTCCCGCTTGCATTCCGATTTCGCCCGGTTGGCCGGAAACGACGACGGATCCGCGCGGGCAAAACAGAGGACGAGCGAACGAGCGCCGCAGCTGTCGGATATTTTCCCTCTTTTCAACGTCCCCCGCTCTTTATTTCCCTAATTTCGTGTAGGATATCGTGTCCCGCCGGAAAATTGCGAGCCCCCTCCCCGAGCCGCATTTTTTCGCAACCCCTTCCTCCACCTCACCTCACTATATGTATATAACGAAAAGGGAATCGACGAAGGGATTCTCTCGAGCGCGTAAAGGCAGGAATTACTTGGTTAATTAGATTCGAGAATAATTGGAACGACCACGTGGCAAAACGGTGGACGAGAAATTATCGAGGATATTTCGCGTTAAATTTAACTCTTCTTTACGCGTTTTTTTTTTTTTTTTAAATATCGTTATGGAAAGGACGCTCGATCGTAGGCTGCGCTTTAAAAAGAAAAAAAAAAAAAGAAAGAAAGAAAGAAAAGAAAGATTTGGAACGAGGATGTTTCTTTTCTGGGAGATGTTAATGGAAAGTCGGTGAAATTACGTAGGTAGGTAGTTGAACGCGAAGGAGGAGATTTACTTGGAAAAAAAAAAAAAAAAAAAAAAAAAGGAAAAAGAATAAAGGTCAAATTTAAATTACCTCCGTGATAACATTTCTCTAAATCCCTTTTCTCCTTTTTGACCTGTATCCCTGTATTCGAGATAGGGGAAAGAACCCGAGGAATTTTTCCATTTCCAATCGAGAAAACGGGAATAACCTTTGGCCCCCGTCTCCGAGAAGGGCAGAATGTACGTTGGGCCAGAAATTCATTAGAAGACACGCGAGAATCTAGAACACAACACTCGACATCGCAACAAATCGATTCTTCCAATTACAGTTGGAATCGACCGGACCTATTTCCCACCCCCCTCCTCCCATTTTCTCTTCTTCCTCCTCCCTCTACACGCGCACGAGCGCGCCTATACATTTATCTGTCCGCTCGACCGTTTGCCGCTCTATCTACCTATTTATCTTTGCCACTCTCTTCTCGATTCTCCTTCTCCTTTCCAACCCCCTTTCACTCTCCCAGCCCCAACCCCTTTCTAGGAGCAAACGCGGCCTGATCCACGGATGATACAGTTCAACCTGTCCGACAGCCTGAGTTGTAATTAATAGTCGTGAAGCAGGGAGAGAGAAAGAGAGAGAGAGAGAAAGAGAGGAGGAAAGACGATACGGGGAGGAGACGGTTCCGATTCGCGAAGCGGTTGTTCGAAACGAGGGCGTGCGGGAAACGTGAAAACGGATGCGTGCGAGAACGAGAATCCTCCGTTTCCTTTGGAACGGAGAGAAACCAGAGATTTTTGGATGGATCTGATTCTTTCGACGAACGCCATTAACAACGAACGAACGAGGGAAAAATAAAACGTCTTCTCCGTTTGTTATCTTCGACAATAGACGAGGGAATGCGAAAAAGATTCCGTACGAACGAGCACGATATTTCTCTCGCGTATCGCGTACGATGCTTATTTCGAGAGGGAAGCTCGAGTCGGCGATTCCAGCCAAGGCCAGCTTTGTCGACGACGGGGTCGAATCGACGAGGAAATAACTGAAACGAAGGCACCAAGGGGGAGAGGAGCGGCGTAAGGCGGGGAGGAGCAGCTGCTCTAGCCTCGCGCCTTTCATCTATTTTTCACGGCAATCGAATTTGCCCGCGAAAGCGTCTAATGTCACCCCCTCTCCTTCCTTAGAAAATATAATACAACGAGCAACGAGAAAAGGGGACGGGCTGTTTATTACATTTTTCGGTAAATAAAAGTTGGTTGGGCAAAGCAAACGAGGGAAGTAGAGGCAGACGTGTCGGACGCCGAAAGATTACGCGAGATAAGCCACCCCTTGGTAAAAGAGACGGCCCCTTTAATTAGTGCTCGAACTCCTCTTTCCTCTTGCCGAGTGGCCTGGGTCGAAACGGAACGCCTCAGCTTTAGAAAACTTCGCCACGGATATTCGACCCAGTTTTTTGAGTATCCGTGCCACCGGGGAAAAAATGCAGATATCCAGGCCTACGACGACGACCCCGTTCCTTCTTCCTCCTCTCCTTCTCTCTTCTTCTTCTAACGCGATCACTCCTGTACACGCGAGGAGTACAAACTCCTACTCTCTCCCTATCTAAAAAGCACAACGCGAAAGTGGAACGAGAAACGTGACCGTGATATTCGGCCGACGATGCGAGACTCGCGATTATTTTAGAACGGGCGGATCTATTATTCCTCCTCGAGCCACGAAATGTGAAAGTTCAAGTTTTCGCGTCTCGTCGGATCGGGACGCGTGGGCGTCTTCCGAGGGGTTAATTTCAACGTACGGGAAACAATGTCACGTCGAAAATTTCGTAGAATATGTTAGAAACGGGACGATTTATTTCTTACGCGTTTCAGTTTTCGTTCGATTCGATCGTCTCGAAAAATGGAGAGAAGATTTCCATTTTTTTTCCCCCACGAATTTTTCGAGGGAACAGCAGTTGGAATAAATAATATACGCGGGGTTCCCAGTTTGTCAAATCGAATCCTCGAGAGGATTATCGACGAGTTTCTTATAAATTGGTGACCGGAAATCGAATCGAGGATACGGTTATTTATATCGAGCAATAAAACGAGATAAATCTCGAAAACTCGAGCTTCTTGCCTCGCTACGTAACACCGGGTTACCTGCCCTTTCCCCTCCTCCATTGTTATAAATCGTTGTTATATTTCGATAATTTATTGCCGAGCCACTGTGGTGTTCCGCCATCGCTATAAATTCTAGATATTTTGCCTGCGGCTCCCGTCGTTCCACATCCTCGCATCTTCCACCCGCTGTCTCCAACATCCGACGTCCAGTTCCTGTGCACCTTACGATTGCCACGCATCGCGAATTATCGTCCAAATTAACCACTTTGCTCGCCTCTATAAATAAATATTTATAATGTAATGGAACTCAGTATGTCGTTAACGAACTCTTTGCTCATCCTTCTTAGTCCATCCATAAATGATTGACTGGTAATGATTAATCGACAAAGAAAGGAAAAAAGGATACTTGCTCCCTTCGCTCAACTCCAACTTCTCGAAAAAAAAAAAAAAAAAAAAGGAGAAGAGAAAATGAAATCTCGGTAAACGCAATTTCGGGTACAAGGGATCTCGACTCGTATCTAAATTGAGCAAATTCAAGATAATCAAAAGAGAAATCTCTTCCTCGGCTGGCGGGGAAAGATGCACGGCACGCGCGCACCTTCTCTCGGGGAACGCTTGGAGATTTATGAAAATTGCGTTGCAAGAGGGGGAGAGCCAGAGCCAGAGCCGGAGAGGACACATCCTTTCCCTCCCCCTCCCCTTATTACCTTTTTACACGCTCTTGAATATACGCCGTCCATCCACGAGAACGAAAACCCTGCTGAGAATTTCGTTTATGCGGATCCAGTCAATTATACACCCTGTCCGTTTATTTGACACTCCCTCTCTCTCTCTCTCTTCCTCGCGTCTCCCCTTATCGCAACCTTCTTCCTTCCTTCGAGCGTTGCACAACTCGCCCCGAAATACGCGGCTCGCCTCTGCTGGCAAGATTAGTTATTAGATTAGGGGGCTCTGAGGCTGCTCCGAGGTTAATGGAATGGCTATGGAAATGGGAACAAAGATGGGGCCCGACCTCTGGGTCGGATCTCTGGAAACACCTCGTGGCGGGTAACCTTATCTCCCCGTTGCTGCCCCGCCAAAGGACACTCGGCTAAACTGATGGAGGGGAGGAGGAGGAGGAGGAAAGGTCGTCTTAATTGAATTGACGATGAACGCATCGCCGTCGATGATTCCGATAGAGCATAATTGTCGAGGATCGATCTGCGCTTGATTAATCAGCTTTCACTGGATCGATGTGATTCACGAAATTACGATTGATCCTGTCGTTGTTGTAGAATGTGGCCGCGATTCGCGAATTCGAGATT